TTTTTTGTATTTTCCCTGTTTCCATTTGTTCTGCACGTGCATAAACTTTCCAGACTTCTTAGGGAGGTCCTGCAAGCAGGACCACAACATACATTGACATTTGTGTGCATTAAGAATGCATCCAAAAAGCTTTAGGTATGATGATGACAGCAACAAACAAACAAACAGACTTCTGTGACATGAGATTTGAATGTGCTGTGGAAATTGTAGTGTCTTTCTGGGCATCAGGACTGCAGAAACAAACAAAAAAGCTCCCGGTAAACAAACTAAAGAAGTAACTTTACATTTTATAACGTTTCCAATTGGGAGGGCTGCTGACTGGAAAAATCTACAAAGCATTTAAGATTTGAAAGCATGATACACACTAAATACTTGTCAACTGATAAAAGCAAAGTCTATCTTTCACATTTTGCCTAGTAAGAGACCTTGTTACTAAGTAATCAAGACTGAATTTTCCAAATACAACAATGGTAGTGCAAATCTATAGTAACTCTGTTCTCATGATAAAATGAAAGCATTGATGATAAAGTACCAATGAAAAAAAACCTTATTTTTTAAAACATGGGTAAATGAAATTTAATTATTTAGAATCAATTGGTACATAAATCACAAATGACATATTTTATTGAGAGAAAAGCACTGCTAACATCTTCAATTTGTGCACTACTAACTTTTCAAGATGTCCAAAGTAATCTTTTTTCAATGTAAGCACTGTCTCACTGAATGCAATAAGTCAAAGTTCTTCAAATACTGCATTCTGCAGTTAAAAGTACATTCTCACTCTTGATAATCCTCCACATACTCAAAGTCACTCTGTGCTCTTGTGTTGGCTGAAACAAAAAAAACTGCATGGTGTTAGCATCTCAGTAGTTGTACTGAGTTTAAGTTCTGTTGCAAAACTGCACAAATATGTGAGAATAATAAAAAGCAGTCTGATTAAACATAATGTAAGAGTCACCTGTGGAGCAGGTGTATCAGCTGGGCATAGCAGTATCAATATTGATGTAATTAGTTAGCTAAGAAATTCTTTGTAGGTGGCAATATCCCTTGACAATGACAAAAAAGCAAAGGCAAGAAAGGAAGTCATTAGGTTTGTGTGACCTCCAAGTACAATAAAAATATCCAGAAAAAATGAAAAAGTAAATTAAGTGTAGAAATACTTTTACTAGTTATTTTGTGGACTGCATTCAGTATTTTCAACGTGTATAATAATAATAATATAAATATAATAATTATTTTTAGCAAAAAAACCCACAAAACTTCTCATTCCTTAATGCCCCTTGATTGGAGGAAATGCAGGTGGCAATTCTAGATATTTCTGAAGCTGCACCTCTATGAATGAAGAGATCCTCACTTTTGAAAAGTTTGGTTACTGTTTTAGAGCTGTCATCAATCCAGTGTCCTTATGTTTCATATCCTACACATCCCAGATAATAGACGAAGGTTTTGAGTTGGAGCGAACCTGCATTTTCATAGGTGTTATTTCTGGAAAAGCTGACAAAAGTGCAGATTAGTCAAACTGTAAAAAATCAAAAGTAGAAGCAGTAAAGCATGCATCTTCCTGACATGTACCTGTACCATCTGCATGGAGTCGCAGTATTTATTCCCCTTTCCCCACTACGGCGGAACATTATCAAAAGGTCTTTGAAATGAGCACAGGTCCAGCACGGGCAGGATTCCAGTTAGAGTATATAATTACACAACACCAGAAATTGCTGGGCTGAATGTCAGAGGAATCTGGAGTGTATAAGGCCTGTTAGATGGTATGGAAAAGGTAGTTTACACGTGTGCCTCCTATGGTTAGTTTCCATCCCCAGCCTCTTGGCAGCTGTACCGCAGTCATTTGGTGTGGTCTCACTGTGCATTTTTATTGCTGCATGGATACCCTTGAATGATCTTATGTTACCCTTTTGCTGCTGGTTTTACCACTGTTTTTAATAATGCGACTCTGCTTTAACTGAATGGCATCTTTCAGTGTATACACTGAGCTGTGTACCTGATAGCTTTTTCTTGAAACAGACAAGGCTTTTTCCTTTAATGTTATCTAAAAACTCCTAGGTCTTGTGCAGCATATGCTTTGAGAATAGAATTTCCCTGGCATTTTTTCCCTATTCCTTTTTTTCCCTATCTTTCTATATTTTTTGACCTTTTTATGAGTGAAGAATTCTCAGTTATTTTAACAGGAGCCTGGCATCAGTAGGGGCAACAGGATAACAGCAAAAGTAGCTTTCTACTACCTTTTACTGCAGCCTGTAGGTCTTGTATCTCCATTACATGTTTCTATGTGAGTTTTTCAAATGACAGCCAATAGCTGTCACTTAAATATTTCATAGTGATTTTTTTACTCTCAAAAATACTGTTTTTCTTGTGTTTCTGTTGTGTTTGCTGTCCCATTGTTGGTACGGTTTTGCTCAGTACTGCTCAACAGTATTTATCTTGTTCTTGCAGTTAAAGAGTTTAGGAAAAAAAAAATCTGTTTTTCAAATATCTCCAATGAGCATAAGTATCAAGTGAGATCTGCATTAAGTGTCTCTCCCTTACTTTATATTAAGGTGTGTGAGCACATGCGTGTAGACACACAAACACTTATGTGCAAAACCAACCTTTTTGGCAAAGCAGAAGCAGGACCTATAGTAATCACTAAGGGCAGTTCCATCCAGCGGAAACAAAAGCAAAGCTCCCAACCCCAACCAGATAATGTTTCTTCCACGGGTGTTCACTGTTACCAGTTTAGCATGATTTAGCAGTTCTGAGTTGCCACGCTAATTAATTTGTGGTACAAAAGACTGTAACAATGCAGTTCACATGAAAAATAGATTTTATTTCTGAAAACACACTCATTTTTTAGAGGGAACTTCAGAATTATTTTACAAGGGAGATGTTAGAATAAATAGCATTTTTCTATTCTGTCCCATTAATCAGTGTCACAGAGAGGAAGGTTTACCTCTTTAGCTCTGAAAATGCAAACTCTCAACAATTCTTAATTTATACCTTGAAATTGTGATGAGATATCCCAGGCTGCACAATGGAACTGAAGCAAAATCCTAGCTGATCAGTTTTATAACAAGCTGTGTGATGAGTATGACCTCTTGTGTTAAACATGGGAATATTCATTTGTTTATTCACAGAATGAAACAACTAAGCAAGAAGATTAAATATCTAAAGGGTAGTAACAGCACTGTCCTTGCATTTCTACAAATAAGCAGGACAGCAGCAGTAGAGGTATTAAAATTGGGACTTGTGACTTCTACATATGAATGAGAAAAATAAATGTAATGATATCCTCATATAGAACTAAGCTATCTGATATTTTAGTGTAACAATACCTTTAATAAGATATTTTTTTCCTTCTTCACAATTCTAGTATAAGATTGAATGATCGGAATTGATGATGTTACAGGACAGAGCCTTGGTGACTTCTAAATAAAACATGGAGATTTAGAAATTTCTTAAAAAGCTTTCCACAGTAAACTAGGTCAAGAGGACTTTATCTTCTGGTAAAGAGAAAGCTTAAAGGAAAGTATTTTTAAGTAAACATTAAGGACACAGCACAAACAGAAAAGGAAAAACGAAACTTAGGCCTATCTAATCTCTATGAGTTCACAAAACTCATATTTTGAAAGCATACTTCAGCATGGCTTTTATGTAGAGTGATAAAAGCCCAGGTTCCCTGAGATTTTAATTTCCTAAAATCCATGCATTTCATGTGTGCTTGAAAACACAGGCAAAATCTAACCAATGAGATGGAATAACAGTACGGTGTTTTTTCAAACAAACAATGCAGTATCTGTAGCTGTACTAAACAGCATGGTCATTCCTAAAAATAAAAGCACTTTTTTTGCTAGGTCATTGGTACTCAGGGGAACTGAGGACAACCATGAGCATCCAAATACACTTCTTGTAATTTCAAAATGAAAGTGTTTTGTCATTCATGCAATAAAGTGTGCGCAGATTTTTATTCAAAACTTTGTTATTAGACAAATTTTGAATTATCACAAGTTTAAATTTTGGTCAGTCTCTAAATAATCTATCTGCATTGTAAAACCATGATATTCACTGCATTAGTGAGGGTGGTGTGATTGTGTAGGTGCTATGTGCGCTTGCTTTAAAAAAAAAGGTACACCTTGATTAGGAATTAAGTCATCTAAGTTTCATAATACAGCATAGTTAAAACTTTGTTAATGGCAGTTCCTCACTCATATTTCTACAAGTCACTTAAGGGCTTCAAAGGAAATTGAATATCATGGGAGAACAGAAAGATCTTAGAAAAGCTTAGTGGATTTAAACTTGAACATTACTGAGAAGTTAAAGATGTAAGGAAACCTTCCACGCTATCAAATTTTGCCGCTGATTTTCCAAGCTGCAAAAGTAGTGCTGCCCAACTGAGTGCGTCGGGAAACAAACAAAAATAACAGAAACAAAACAAACAAAACCCAAAACAAAATAACACACAAAAAAACCCCAAACACCACCCTGTTATAATCTCGCCTAGGTGACAGCTGTTAACAAGGTAAATCGCTTACCGTTATCCTCATTCTTCCCTTAAAAAAAATCCTCCCTTAAATAAATGCAGGGAAGAGACATTACCTGGTGCAGACATCGCTCTGCCAAAGGGAGTTGTAAGAATGGATTATTCAGTGAGAATCTAGGACGAAAAGGAAGGGAAGAGGCAAAATGGACTGCATCCCGGGCCTGCATGCCCAGGAACTGGAGCCGGAGGGCAACGCACACAATTCGTGACCCCGATCCCGTTCCAAGGGAGAGCTCCTACCGACCCGCCGGCGCGGCTCTACAGCCTCAAACCACCCCCGGCCCCTCCCGGGCGCTCACACTCCGGCTGCGGCTCTCCCTTCTCCCGCGAAGGGGAGAAGCAGCCGGCCGAAGCCGTGCGTCCTCTGGGACCGGCTCGGGATGTGCCGGGAAAGGTTTCTCGCTGCCCGGCGGGGCCGCGGACCGTTCCAGCCGCGACAGCGGCCGGAGCGGGGCGAGCCTGGCGCTGTGTTTTGCAGGGCGGCGGCGGCGGCGCTGCTGGACAGCTCCGGAGCGCGGAGCGGCGCCCATGTTCCGGAGGCGGCGCAGATGTGAGCGGAGAGCCGGGCAGAGCTGCGGCCGGGCCCCTTTCCCGACGGGCGGGGGCGATCCCGGCAGCGAGCGCGCTCCCCAGCCCAGGAAGCCCCGTGTTCCCGCGGCGCGGGGGGAGGCAGCCCTTACCCACGGGAAGCGGGATCCCCGCGGGCGGGGGGCGGGCAGCCCTTACCTACGGGAGGGAGGGAGGGATCCCATCGGGCGGGAAGCGGGCAGCCCTTACCCTCGGGAAGCGGGATCCCCGCGGGTGGGGGGCGCAGGCAGCCCTTACCTGTGGGAGGGAGGGAGGGAGGAAGGGAGGGAGGGAGGGAGGGATCCCATCGGGCGGGGGCGCGGGAAGCCCTCACCCTTGGGAAGCGGGATCCCCGCGGGCGGGGGGCGGGCAGCCCTTCCCCGCGGGAAGCGGGATCCCCGCGGGCAGAGGGCGGGCAGCCCTTTCCCGCGGGAATCGGGCAGCGGGAATCCCCGCGGGAAGAGGGAAGCGGGAAGCAGGCAGCGGGATCCCCGCGGGCGGGGGGTCCCCGCGCCGCTCACGCGCAGCCGGTCCCGCCCCTGCAGGTGACGTGATGCCCGTTGTTTTGGTGCGCCCGACCAATCGGACACGCCGTCTGGATTCTACGGGAGCCGGGATGGGCCCGTCGTGGCGGCAGCAGGACGCTCCCCTGCCGCCCATCACGCATTGCGCACGGTGCACCACCGCCCGGTCCTCCTGCGGCTTTAACGGCCCCGGCATGGACGCGCCGCGCCACTTCCCGGCGGGCTTCGGCCCCGACCAGCAGCAGCAGCAACAGCAGCAGCAGCAACAGCAGCAGCGCCCGCCGGCGCCGGCGCCGCCGCACTGCCAGCAGCACGGCCAAGACAAGCAGAGCCTCCTCCAGCAGCAGCAGCACCAACAGCAGCAGCAGAGCCCATGCCTCCAGTGCAACAACTGCGCCTACTACGGGGCTGCTGCGGCAGCCGCGGGGGATAACCTGCCCTTACTGCTCCGCGCCTCCTCACCCCTCTCGGGCGCCTTCCGGACGCACTCCTCGCCGCTCTCCTCCGCCGCGTCCTCCCGGCAGGGCAGCCAGCTGAACGTCAGCGAGCTCACCCCCTCCAGCCATGCCGGCGCGCTCAGGCAGCCTCACCAGTATTCCCAGTACCACCAGTGCCATAGCCTGCAGCAGCAGCAGGCAGTCAGCCCCAGCAGCAGTGTCAGCAGCGGCAGCACCCACCACCACCACCACCATCATCACCACCACCACCATCACCAGCAGCAGCGCCGGGAGAGCAACCCCTTCACCGAAATAGCCATGAGCAGCTGCAGGTACAACGGCGGCGTCATGCGGCCGCTCAGCAACCTCAGTTCGTCCCGCAGGAACCTGCACGACCTGGACTCCGAGTCGCAGCCGCTGCAGCCGCCGCTCGCCAGCCCCGCCGCCGCCGCCGCCGCCACCGGCGGCAGCCCCGCCGCCCCGGAGATCGTGGTCTCCAAGCCCGAGCACAACAACTCCAACAACCTGGCGCTCTACAGCTCCACCGGCCCCGGTCCCGGCCCGGGCAGCACCAACAACGGAGGCGGCAAGTCCAGCAAGAAGAAGAACCAGAACATCGGCTACAAGCTGGGACACCGCCGAGCGCTCTTCGAGAAGCGCAAGCGCCTCAGCGACTACGCGCTCATCTTCGGCATGTTCGGCATCGTCGTCATGGTCATCGAGACAGAGCTCTCCTGGGGCGCCTACACCAAGGTACCAGCCCGGGCGGCAGCGGGTCCCACCGCCCGACGGTGCGGACGCCGTGGGGCCGTGGGTGCCGCCGGTCCCGTCCCCGGGGCAGAGGTGGCCGTGGGGCGGAGCGGCCCCCGCGCGTGGGTCTCTGAGGGACGGCGATGTCTTTCTCTTGCAGGAGTCGCTGTATTCCCTCGCTCTGAAATGCCTTATTAGCCTGTCCACGATTATCCTTCTTGGTCTCATCATCGTGTACCATGCAAGGGAAATCCAGGTAAGGTTTCCTTGAGTGAATCAGGAAGCGTTCCTGGCTTAGATGGGTGTGCGAGGCGGTTTGTCCAGGGGTGCAGTGGTGGTAAGTACTGGGCATGTCCCACTGGTTCAGAAAGCATAAGTGGTCTGTGCATGCCTGCCGAAATTGGTGAATGGACCTTAGTCCTGGAGATAGGGCAAGATACAGCGGATACGAGCCAGGGAAGCTCTGCTTGCTTGGAAGTTCTCCCTGCTAGGGACTGTCGCCTGCAGTTATGCTATAGGATCGCTTAGCCTCGAGGTTATAACCTGCTTCCTAGGTGATGTGCCTGCTGTCTCCTGTAGCAGATGTACAGCAACAGTCTTTTATTTCCCAATGACTCAGTTTCATGCTGTGCGTTTTCTTTTGCCGGCATGGTGAATGCGTGCACGGTATGTAATCTTCACTGCGCTGTCTCAGAAATGAGGGTACTCGAAGAGATTGTTTAAGAGGAGAGGGAAGGCTGATGTTTGACTTGTTTTATTTAATGGTGCAGAACCTTTAGGAATGTGACCAAAGAAAACTGTCAGGAAGGATAGGGCTAAAGGTAAGAGGAACATAATTATTAAAGCTGTAGAACTGTACAAATACTGTTGTCACAGGTTCTCTCCAGGTGACTTAATTCTAATTTCAGTTGTGGGGGTTTTTTTTGACCAAGACATTGAAATTTGGTATTTCAGCTCAACTGAAACATACAATAGACAGATTTCAAGGTTTCGAAGGGAAAAATACCTTACTTATAGATACAGTGCTTTTGCTTTTTTAGATTAGGGATTCTTCGAGCTGAAAACTGAAATGTCAGATTTCAAGGGCAAAGAAGACTTGCTCTGGTACTAATCAGTAAAAAAAAAAAAAAAAGAAAGAAATTAAGAATTGTATAGTACCCTGCTTCTGTGCAAATGAATGCTGTAATTTCAATGTGAAATGGTACCATAGTCCCCTACTTAGGGTAATGTTAAAAAAGTATTATGTTGCCAAACTGGATCCTGTTGTGCAGTCCTTGCACATGCAAAACTTCTTTTCCTGGCTCAAAAACCAGTTTCTCTGCATTAATATCAAAGATACTGAAAGCTGTTAATGATATTTTACTCTATAAAGAAGTGTTTTAAATAGAGGGCATATTTATAAACTACAGGAGTACTCATGAAAAGGTCTCTTTATGTGTATAAAAATAAATAAGTAGCACTGCTGCAGTGTGGGAGCCTTCTCTGGTGTATCATCCCACAAGTGGTGCTTTAGGCATGAAGAGCAAAGCTGAAAACAGTCCCTCTGTAAATGTTTGAATTAGTCTATGCATTTTCCAGAAACCCTAAATTGAAAATTTTCTAGAAGATAACCAAATAGTTGTAGGTCCCTTTATGCATCAGCTTATACTATGTAGTTACTCCAAGATTCAATTCGTTGTTGTTTTTGTTCAGATAGAGAGTTACAAATTTTCATTATCTTAGGAATCAAATATCTTATGGATCAGAAAGAAACAATAATAAAAACTTAAAGTTGTCATTCCACTTTGGTTTTTTTAACTGACCATTTTAAAGAACTTCATCATGTCTGTAACTACATGAAAGGAGCTACACAATCGTGTCACTTAATCACGATTAATGTAGTTTTCAGTGCTGCCTGACTGTACACAACACAAGTATACCTGGCTGTAAAAGAGCAATACTGCGTGTTTTAGAATGAGAGACACCAAAAACTGCAGTAGTCATGACAGGACCTAGAGTGAGCTGCAGATTCAAGGGGTTCTGTCATTCAGGTCAAAAATTAAAGGAATTTCTCTGTTTCAAGGAGCTTGTTAGAAGGAAGCGCATAATACTTCCCTTTGCTGTATCTGCTCACTTTTGAATTTGCACATAGTCTGTTTTTCTGCATACACTCGACTTTTAAAAAATAAGGTGAAGTGTATGTAGAGCAAAAGCTATATCCATATCCGACAGTCATAAAATTTATGTTACATTTGAGACCTGAAAAAAAGAAGTACCTTTATAATACTTTGGCTTAGTGGCTTACATCATCTTCTCCAGGCAAAAGAAAATACTGTGTAAATCTGAAAATGTGAAGTTTGTTAAATAACCTTTAAAGCTGACTGTTTTCTGAAGGCAGACATGCCTTTAGTTCAAGCAAACACCTTGCTGTGTGCAATAGAATGAATAAGGTTTGTAGAATACAGCCCAGAGATGGTTGTGTCCAGGAGGACTATTTGCACCAGTTATTTGTCAGTCCTGTTTCAGTTCAAATAATAATTTCTGATTTTTGTCTTCTGATTATTGTCTGAAACATATTTAAACATTTTTTGTTGCATAAATAAGTAGGAATTCATTGAGGGAGGAGAATTTGTTCCATAGAAGAGGATTGCTGTATTTTGCTTGCAGTGTGGTGACTTTCATACTCTGGTGGCAGCAAACCAGCCTAAGCATAAGTAAATTTTTCTACAAAGCATGAGGCAAAAAAATGTTAGGAAAGAGCTGAATGTTTAGTAATTGTTACTGATTGCTGGATGAATATGGAGACCTAAAATGCTGGCAAGTGGAAATCAGCTTTTTGGTTCTTTTCAGTAGTCTGTGACCATGATTTATTGGTAGGGACATCAAACAGTTATGCAGCAAAGATGTCCGTGGGGCAGTGCCTAGCAGCATAGAGGTGGCTTTAGTCTTCCCATTGATACGACATGGCTTGTACGTTTTGCTTTGAAAATAATCAGCTGGTCAGTTAAACCAGACTCCAAAGTTTGCCTGTCCCAGACCTGCTACGCTTTTTAAAGGCATAGGAGGGGAAGTTTATAAAGGCTTGCTAAGATTCTTCCCAAGCCCACAGTGATATAGCGACATGAAGCAAATGAGTTTTCTTCTTCGCCCTTTCCCGCGGGTGATGTGCGGTGTAGGAGCTGGAGCGCTCCCCGTGTCCCGGCGGTTTCCGCGCCGCCCGTTCAGCACCGCGGACAGCTCCGCGCGGAGCGCCCTGCCCGGCCGGCACAGCCCTCCCTCCCTCCCTCTCTGCCTCTCCTTCGAAACCCGCTCGCTACACAGTTCTGCTTAGGGGCTCTCTGGAACTTGCACAGAGCTCTGCATCTGGCAGACCAATGTCTCCAGTGCAGTGTTTACACAACTGTAGGAAGGTTACCTAGTCTTGTGAAGTAATAAATATAAGTTAGTGTTAAGAATATGATAGAAGTCAGATGAAACCAGTTGGGTTGAAGTGCTTATTCATAGCTTACATTACCGTTCCCAGAAAAGAGGATAAAAATTACAAGCAAGTTTGCTTCACGTCCTTCCTCCTTCTAGAAACAAAATCTTAAGGAACAACAGCAATAGCGCTGGAATTCAAGATAGTGACAACCCCAAAATATGTGTTCTCTTTTCGTCTCTTTGTTGTTGTGCCTATAATGCTGTTAGAAACATCACGCTTGGGAGATAATGAAATATGCATTGTTCTCTCTCCAAGCTTGTGTGGTTGTTGATTCATTTCTTCAGAGGAAGTGCTTTGAAAGATCAGTGGGAAAAATGTAATTCATCTTTATCCCAGCCAAGAAGAGATATTTCTGTTACTCCAGTTGAAAGTTTGAAGAGGTGAAGGAGAGAAGAACTAAAAAGACAGCATGATCCAATTATCATAATAATTTTTGATGTATAAATTATCCAATTCATGCATAAACAGTTTGTTACTTAATAATAGTTTACATAATTAAAGCAGAGGAAGAATGTAACATAATTAAAATTGTAAAATCCAGAGAACTTACTGTTCCATTCCACATTTCTCTAGTGGTATATGCTATTAGATCCATAAATAAAATTGAATTTAAGAAAGTTTTGGCCGATAGTTCACATGACAAAGCTACAGTTTTTCTACTTTTATTAAAAAATGGACCTCTCTGCCTGTCTCTAGTTCTGTTGGAGGTAGAAATGCTTTTTTAACTCTGGACCCCTGATGTTTCACTGGCACTTTCTTGTATTACCCAGAGCAAAGGATTAAAATCAAAATTCTGTGACATTGCCAGTAGGAGGTCTTTAACGTCTTTTGTTGAGCGTTCCAGCTAATATTTCTTGAGAGATGGTGGTCAGTGGAAGAATATATCTGGAACACTTCTCCTTTAATGCTGGATTGCTTAGTGTATCCCTTGTGTAAGTGAACATACTGCCTGTCCTGAATAACAGTAACCTGAGTAATGCTAACCTGTACTCTCCTGGACAGTATCTGAGCCTCTTTTCCTTCTCCCTAATGCAGATGTTGTCACTTATGCAGAACCGTGGTAGTTGTTGGTATTGTTAGAAGTGAATAGAAAAAATTTTGTTTGTTTGTTTGCTTGTATGTCAGTTGAAATTTCTAACCACTTCTAAAATATACTGCTAGTTCATACTTAGGTAGAATGCCTATGGAAAGTCTTGCAAACTCCAAGGTTAAGGTTGAGCTATTGCTTTCACAGCAGAACCTCCCAGGGCTCCAGGGAGAGAGCACCTTCAATCCCTAGATGGTACTGAAGTGGTGGGAAAATGTGCTACTGATAGGCTTGGTGTGAAACACTTCCAGTCTTCATTACCTTTATAAAAAGTTATCACAGCTGAGAGCCCAAATGTCTTTCTGAAGAATCAGAGTCATCTTTTCACTGTGCCTGAAACTTGAAAAATGGAACAGGTGGTATCAGCTAACAGCTAAGAATGGTAATAAATACATATCTTGACCTGTTTGTTGTGCAAATAAATCCCATAATGCATGATGGTATTAAACACTGTTTATGGGAACTTCATTATTTTATTAGCATTAGTGGAAAGTTTTGCAGTAAAAATTTTGTACTCATGAACCAAAGTTAAGCTCTCTTACAGTTTCTTTTCGTAAGAAGTTATGGGTATTCTGAAGGCTAAATTATTTGTTTCTATCTATGTTATTGTTTTGCCTTCACTGGGGTGGTGCCCGTGCATCTCATTAGCGGTCTTGCTGGCAATCTGTTGACTCTGTGCTAAGTCCAACTTACATTTGCTTAGGTATAT